GGCAGTTAAGAGGTTTTATTCCCTCCCTAACTTCAGGGGAAAATCTCTACCTGGGGAAACAACCTTTCTCGGAGAGGTGACCTTGGTTAAAACACATAGTGCCAAGAAGGTGACCAAACATATTAAGAACAGTATGCCATATATTCCAGGTCCCTTGAAACAGCAAGGATGGACCAGCTCCCGGCATGTGGTGGTCCCAGCAGCCTGGAGTAGAAGGAGCATGGCCTGTGCTCAACTCTTTCAGACACATACACACCCTTCCCTGGTTTACTCTCTGGAGACAAGAAAAGAAAGAAACATATAGGCTCCTCCCATGAAAGATTGTAGGGAGGCCATGATCCTTTTCCTGTTCACTGTAATTTGCTGCTCTACCTAGTTGCCTATGGTCTCACATAGAGGGGTGAAGGTAACCAGGCCTCACTGACAAGAGTTTCAGTGTCAAGCAGCAACCCCAGGCCTCTCTGGGGCCTTGCAAGACTCGGCCACATTTCATAGCTGACCCATCCTATTCCTCTGTTGTAAAGAACTCAACGCCCTATCCTATAGTCATTTCTGCCACTACTAAGGTCCTCAACCTCACCTTCTCTGCAGTCCCCAACCCTGTGATTCACAGGCACATTCCAGATTCACCTTTAGTGCCCTGCAGGCGACAGAAACTAGAGGGAATAATCGTTGCCCCCTCTTTACCTGACCATGCTACCTTGCCCAATGCTCTCTGTCCCTCTCCAGGAAAAATAAAAGCTAAGCTCCTTAGCTTACTAATGTGCTCTACATACATTTAGTGCTCACAACTAACCCACGAAGTGGAATAATGATCTCCATTTTACAGACGTGGAAACTGAGGTAGAGAGCATGAGTAATCCAAGTGGTGGGAAAGACTATCACCAGGCAATCCAGCATCAGAACACACTTTTAACTACCATCCTATTCTGTCTCTGAACAGGTTGTCAGGCCCAGTGGTTGAGCAAACTGCACAGTGAACAAGATAGTCTCCCCTTCTTGCATACACCCCCAAATTTTATAAGCATTAGATATGGGAACCAGTAGGGCAGATTCTCCCCTCTCCAACAGCCCCAAAGGAAGTCCCATGATTGTATCTCATTAGCTTGGACATGGGCCCAAGGCTGAACCAACTACAGTGACCAGAGGATGCAGTGTCCTCTAGCCAAGCTAGAGCTTCAGCCCACATCTGGAGCCAGATGTGGACCCAACACATCCTGAACCTGGCATGAAGCAAGGGCAGAGAGGAGAGTCTCCAGAGAAAGTCAGGGGACTCTGAACCAGTAGACAGAGGAGTGGGTGCTGGGCAAGCAAACATATTAACTGACCACTGCACACACTGGGGAAGACCTGTAGTGGCTTGTTACATCTGGAGGCAAAGAGTGCCTACTATGTGCCAAAACATGATGTCCAACATTTTACCTTAAAATTGGCTCAAACCTCACAAAAATTCTGTCAACTTTTTGGCATTTTACATGTAGAAACACTGAAGCATAAGAGATTAAACAAACTATCACCAATTTAGAGCCATTTTTCCTCCAGTCTAATGAATTTTTTTAATTTAATTTTATTTTTTTGCCATTTCTGAAGTTAGAATACATCTTCCAATCCCTGGAGTGTGGTGTTTTAATTGACAGCATTGCTTTTCCTATCAGTGCATAAAATAATGGCATGTCTTTCAACTAATGGAGTTTTAGATTTAATGAGATCCTAGTGAAGCCAAGAATGAAATCCACCCTCATCTGACTCCAAAGTCCATGTGGTTCCTAAACCTCTGGACGAGGGTAGGGATGTTGATCAGGTGGGCTTTGCTTGTTCTGAGAAATGGCCTGATGGAATTTTCTTCTTGTCCTTGCAGGGGAGGAAGACTGCGTCATTCCACTATCCCGGGGGAGGTGCTAAATACAAAGGTGAAGCTGTCCAGAGGTCCCTGGTGGAGTCTTACACTCACCCAGATAGCAATGAGACAGAGTGGAGGGAGAACATTGATATTGTCATGAACTGGTTCACTAAGGAAGACTTTGACTTTGTGACTCTGTACTATGGAGAGCCAGATAATGTGGGACACAAATACGGGCCCGAGACAGAAAATAGAAGGGTAATAATTAAGCAAATCGACAGAACCATCGGGTACCTGGTAGAAGCCATTGAGAGGCACGGCTTGACTGAGCACCTCAATGTCATCATCACATCAGACCACGGCATGACTACAGTAAAAAAGAAGCCCAATGTCACTGAGATCCTCTTGACCAACTACATCAAGTACAGGGACTTAGTCAAGTTTGATATTGTGGACTATGGAGGCTTTGGGATGCTCTCTTTACCAAGCACTGAAGAATGCACATCCACACCTCCATGTCTATAAGAAGGAGGAATTTCCAGAACGCTTCCATTTTTCTAAGCATGAGCGGGTCCTGCCAATCCTAGTGTATGCGGACTCTGGTTACAACATCAATGGGGTGAGTTGATTTTTAAATGAATAAAGTCATCTTGGATCTGGGAGAGGGCCACTAGGGAGAGAGAGTTCTGGAAAACAACAAAACGTAAGTGTATACAGTGAGTGGTGACCCACTATTTTCTACATGTTCCCCACCCACACACTCCACATCCCATGCAATCACCCCTGCCTCATATCACTATCATCCAATAATAATGGCAAACACCTCTGACCAAGGCTAATTATCCAGCACTGTGCTAAAAACTTAACATGAGTTAGTTCATGTCTGTCTAAAGATAGATGCTCTTATCTCCCTCATTTTAATAAGAAACCAGAGCTAGAGAGGAATGATTGGGGATTAGAAGTATAAGGCTGAAGTCTGAACCCATAATTATGTTTGCATTCTGTGTTTGATTATTATGCACAGATCACCAGGAGATTCACCAAAAAACTACTTCCTGGTTTCCTTGGTACATACCAAAAAGAAAAGAAAAAGAAAAAAAGCAATCCTACTCATGTATATACCGATGCTCACAGCAGCATTATTCACAATAAGCAAAAAGTGAAAACAACCCAAATGCCTATCAACTGATGAATGGATAAACAAAATATGGTATATCCATACAGTGGAATATTGTGTAGCCATTAAAAGGAACAAAGAACTGATAAATGCTACAACTCAAATGAACCTTGAAAACATTATGCCCAGTTAGATACGAAGGACCACATATTGTATGATTTCATTTAAATGAAATATCCAGAACAGGAAAATCAATAGAGATAGAATATTAAAATTAGTGGTTTTCTAGGGCCAGAGGTGGAGAGGACTTGGGGACAAATGGGCAGTGACTACAGAAGGCCACAGGGTTTCTTTTAGGGATGACAGAAATCTTCTAAGCTGGTTGTGGTAATAGTTGCACACCTCTGTACATACACTAAAAATCATTGAATTGTACACTTTAAATGGGTAAATTGTATGGCATGTAAATTTTATCTCAACAAATTTTATTAGATTTGAATAAGCAAATCTAAAGAAGAAAATACCAAAACCAATGCTAATTGTGAGACATAAGTAAAATGGTCTGGTTTTTCTTAACTACCCACCAATAATTCATGTCAGAACAAAGTTGATGTGATATTTAAATATCACATAACAGAATACCATCTCAGGTATAGCTTGAAGAAGCCTTATCTAAGGCTGTGGACAGGGCCAAACATTATCATTATGTTTGCAATCTGTATATTCTCAGCTTGCTACAAGTCTTGGGAAAATTCACTAAGTTATTGTCTAGTGGTGGTGGAAATATTCACAATAAAGTGCAATAATTTATTGGTATTTTGTAATCCTTCAAATAGCCCAAACCACTGAGGATGTGTGCCCAGCACTAAGGCCTCTCCAAGGAGAGATTCCAGAGTCAGTGGCCTCTTTGTAAACCTGGTTCATGATGTAATAGGTTGCAAGTATGATGAAGGCATTTAATCGGACAGTCACATTCCCAACATGACCAACCAGAGAGTTGGAGGGAATAGGATGCTGTGATCAGTTTAATCTTCTGGGAAACTAACAATTAGACAGAAAATCTTTTGGTCTCAGTACATCTCACTGAGTACACTACTCAGATTTCCACTCATCTGCCTGCCTTGAGGTGCAGAGTAAAGTGGATGCTACTCTTCTCTCTTCAGGGACTAAAGAGCTTGCAAACCACATGAGGGAGTCACTGGGGCACTTGCTCTTGATGGGCTTCCCTATGGCCTTAAAGGTCATTGGACTGGTTTTTTTAGGGTGAGGGAGCCTGAGCTGAGTGACAGGAGCTTTCTGTAGTCACCTGGCCAAATATGAGACCAACTAGCACCACATTTCTTCCCTGCTGGAACTTCTGCTGGTCCTAAGAAAATATAAAGTGTTGTGACTGATGTTACTTAATCATTTGAAAAAAGGCACACACAAAAACCTATCTGGCATTCATTAAACAAGTACCTACAGTCCTTATTCCCTCCTCTCCAAACTCCCCCCAAATATATATACTGGTATATACACTTTTATGCCATAAAAAACATACTTGGCTCTAGAACCATTCAGTCTGGGTTCAGACACCTGCTCCAAACCCTGCTACTACATGACTAAGGACAGGCTCCTCAGTTTTCACATCTTCAAAATAGGGAGGATAATAACAGTGCCCTCCCTGGGCCACTGTGAGGGTAAAAAGAGTTAACATATATTTATAAGGCATTCAGAACAATTCATGGTACATTGTAAGCACTCTCTGCTTGAGCTTATTGTCATTGTCAGTATTGTTATCATTCTATTCTTGCTGTTTCTAATGGATATGCTTTCTAATTTATTCTATCTTAAAGATCTTTCATTCTTTGCTCTTCTCTCTGCCAGTGCAGAAAGCAGTGTCCTTGCTCGTCATTTAAATTTTCAAAGATTTCATGGATCCGACAAGCATGATATTAACTAAGGGGCAGTTTTCTTTCAGTGAATTGGGCTCTAAAATGGCTTTTTTTGTTGTTATTGTTCAGCGACTTATAATTTACTTCAACAAAGGAGACCATGGCTTTGATAATGATCTCGAGGACATGAAGACCATATTCAGAGCTTTCGGGCCAAGTTTCAAGAAGAATCACCTGGCTGAGCCTTTTGACAGCATCCATATCTACCCTCTCATGTGTAAGCTCCTGGGGGTCACCCCGGAGCCCCACAATGGCTCCCTGGCAGTCACCCAAGAAATGCTTGTGGACTCTTTCGACCAGCGACCAGGTGAGATGCAAAAGCAACCACCAGAAAATTGGCAGTTGCTTCCTGTCCTGAGAAAGAATAGATTCATAATGGGGTCTCCTGGGGAGGAGATGAAATCAAGCAGAATAATCCTATTTCCCAGCAGCTTCAGCACCCCCGGTACAAGGTATCAGCAGCTCTAAAAAGATAGCAGAGGAGGTAGGGAACCCCTGGATGTGCTGGTGACATTTTACATAGTGCTTCAGGGGCAAGGGGAAGGCTCTCCATATAGGAAGTCAGAGGATAATCCTACTGATCATCAGAAATCGTGTGCAGTCGGCCCTTTGTAGATACCCCAAATTAGTCTTCCTTCCCCAACTCCATGTATGCTAGCGCCTGGAGAAAAGCTGCTAACCATTTCACTCATTGCTGAAGAAAGGGGCAAGGGTTCCTGTAAATGAGGTTGCACATTTCTTAATTCTTAAGACTTCGAAATCCTAAATCTGGCCCCTGGCCGGGGGCTCAGTTGATTGGATTGCCTTCCCCATACACTGAGTTCGATCCCCAGTCTGGGCTCCTGCGGGAGGCAACCAACAAGCCAATCGATGTTTCTCTCATCTCACGTGCTCTCTCTCTCTCCCTCCCTCCCCCTCCCTCCATGTCTCCCTCCCTTTCTTTCTCTCTCTAAAATCAATAAACACATCCTTGGGTGAGGGTTTTTTAAAAATCCTGAATCTGGGCGACATGAAGGAAGAAAGAAATCATCTCTGGGAATTCAGTGTTTGCAAACACTGGCCAGCTTTTCTTCTGCCGGGAGAGACTCGGATACTGCCTGATGATTTATTGAGTGCTTCGAGCAACCATATTCAATCAAAACAGAGTATAAAGAAGAGCTTCCTGCACCCTTTTCCCTTCTTCCAAGCCACTGCCCACGATCTTCTTGTGAACTTACAGAAAGCAGGCCATTTTGCAGAAAACTAATCAAGTAAATGACCACTTCACCGAAGTATTGAGGACTTTTTAAAACACGTTAGAATTTTGCTCAACTATTTGGACCCCACTTCTGTCCCATAGCACACTGGGAGCTGGGGTAAGGTGTGTCTGACCACCAGTTATTAATAAGCAGTAGACATCCCACCAACTGATTTTCAGTGAATTGGCTTTTAGCAAATTGGTCATTTGGCAAAGTGGTCATTAGGCAAATGGGTCATTTGGCGAATAGGTCATTTAGTAAATCGTCTTTCAATGACTTGCCCTGTGAGATTTCTCTACAGTGAGCACTTTCTTGGGTTAAATGTACATTTCATTTCCATAATTAATATTCACTAGCGCCTGGATGGGAAACTTCCCACGGACCCTGGAAGCATCTGAAACAGCCTCTTAATAATCAGACAATTAAAACCCATCTGATTTTTTTTTAACAGGAGCAGAGGTGCAGAGGTCATCTGCTCTCAAAAACACAGCAATAGCTCTCGGGACTGTCACAGGAGTTCTTGCAGTTCTGTTTGTCGCTAGCGTGACATACACAGCCATTCGTCGGAAAAAGAAGTGAGTGGCCTTTGGGTTTCCTGTGGTTGGTGCACATTGTAATCATCCATTTCAATCACTTCCTGCCACAAGGGGTCCAGCACTTTGAGAACCCAGCAACCAGAGCCAGCTTGGGCCCAGGACTCAGAAGAGACCCCAGTTTGGTTTAATAAGCTACTATCACAGGCTCAAAATTCTTAACAAGGACCCTGCATTTTCATGTTGCACTAGACCCCCCAAATTATGCACTAGTTAGTTTTCTAGGACTGCCATAACAAAGTACCACAAACTGGGTGGCTTAAAACAACAGAAAAGTATTGTTTCATAGATCTGGAGGCTAAAAATACAAAATCAAGGGTTGGGCAGGGCCATGGTCCGTCTGAAACCTGTAGGGGAGGGTCCTTCTGTGCCTCTTCTAGCTTCCGGTGGTTGCCAATAGTCCTTGATGTTCTTCCTCCAATCTCTGCCTCCATTGCCACACTGCCCCCTTCTCCCTGTGTCGCTATCTTCTAAGGCAGTGGTTCTCAACCTTCCTAATGCCGCGACCCTTTAATACAGTTCCTCATGTTGTGGTGACCTCCAACCATAAAATTATTTTCATTGCTACTTCATAACTGTAATTTTGCTACTGTTATGAATCATAATGTAAATATCTGAAATGCAGGATGTATTTTCATTGTTACAAATTGAACATAATTAAAGCATAGTGATGAATCACAAAAACAATATGTAATTATATATGCATTTTCCGATGGTCTTAGGCGACCCCTGTGAAAGGGTCATTCGACCCCCAAAGGGGTCAAAACACACAGGTTGAGAATCGCTGTTCTAAGGACACCAGTCATGGGATTTAGGGCCCCCTGTAATCCAGTATGACCCTATCTTAATTTAATTTTGTCTGCAAAGACCCTATTTCCAAATAAGGTCATATTCCTAGTACTTTTACCATAACTTTGGGGGAGGGGAAGAATTCAACCCATAATATTGGTTCTGCCACCCATCAAAGCATTATATGAGCTGGTGCACTGCTTTCTACATCTCAGTAGTTTATCACTAGACTGAGCCTTCCGTATTCTTGCACACAACCCTGACCATTTTTCTACTTGGACATAGCATGGGGACCTCCCGAACACTATAAACTACTGAAAAAACAGAACTTTACTTAACCTTAACTCCATTTCACAGCTCACAGTTAACGTAATTCCTATTTAAACTATAAAATTTTCCTGTGAGTTGAAACATGACCTATAAAGGTCTCTATACCCTGAAGCAACATTTTAGAAAGAAATCAATTGGTCCTTTTTTACAGAAACCATTAGCCATAGGAGAGATACAGGAAAAACTGCAATGTACTGATTGAATTGCCATGCCCACAGCATAATTTCTAAAAGGCAAACCGTTCCATACAGTTAAAATGCATTAGGTTTTTATTATTACTATTAAAGAAAGCCTCAAATCCAGAAGCTAAATCACTAATTTGGCATGTGCTCATGCACATCCCTCTTGCCACTGGAAGGACCACTGGGATGTCCTAATGCTTCTCTCCATATCGACACCACCTGGAGTTGTTATTTGTGTTACGCAGCAGGCAGTCCTAATCTTCACTTACGCCTGAACATACCACACCTTTGAGGTCCATAGAACCTTAAACATCCCTTCAGTGCCTTGACCTTTCCAAAGTCAGACCTGAAATGCATCGCTTTTGTCCCTCCTGAGAGCCCACACGCAAAGATAAAGTTTCTTCTGGGTGTAGGTCAATGCTGCGGCCCACTCAGGATCCTTCCCCAACCTGCTTCCCATCTCCGGCATTAGGTAAGGTTGGACCAGCCTGGGCTTATTAATATCTTAGTATAACGTCAGTGTTACTATGGTACTAACTATACATGTCCTTTCACTTGTTGGAGCAGCAGTTCTCTACCTGTGGGTCGCGACCCCTTTGGGGGCTGAACGGCCCTTTCACAGGGGTCACCTAAGACCATCGGAAAATGCATATATAATTACATATTGTTTTTGTGATTAATCACTATGCTTTAATTATGTTCAATTTGTAATAATGAAAATACATCGTGCATATCAGATACTTATATCACGATTCATAACAGTAGCAAAATTATAGTTATGAAGTAGCAACGAAAATAATTTTATGGTTGGAGGTCACCACAACATGAGGAACTGCATTAAAGGGTCGCGGCATTAGGAAGGTTGAGAACCACTGCCTCAGAGGAAAGATAATTAATCGCTATTATGTGTGTTCACAGAGTAAGCCCTGTGTTTATGAGTTTAACTGACCCGTTGCCATTGTTTTTCTACTGCAGGCAGAGCACCGATCAAAACAGCGGAAGTGAACCAGTGTACCTGACCGAAATCCCGAGAGTCGCCCTTTAGCACCAAGACTCAAATCATAGTGAAGACTCGGTGTTGTGTCACTGGTGACCCCATCTCCAGACACTGTGACTAGGAGGATTTTCGCAACATCTCGGAGCGAACCCAGGTGTTCCATGTGAAGACACAGCTATCGCCACAGCACACCTTCTTGCTCTAAGTCAGCGGTTCTCAACCTGTGGGTCGCGACCCCTTTGGGGGTCAAACGGCCCTTTCACAGGGGTCGCCTAAGACCATCGGAAAACACATATATAATTACGTATTGTTTTTGTGATTAATCACTATGCTTTAATGATGTTCAATTTGTAACAATGAAACTGGGGGTCACCACAACATGAGGAACTGTATAAAGGGTCGCGGCATTAGGAAGGTTGAGAACCACTGCTCTAAGTCAACAAGTGTTGGGGGAAGACCAACTCTTGAAAGATAGACCACTCTTGTGCCAGATCCTGTGCTCTCCTGGTTGTGGGAAAAGCACAACAGATATGAGAGAATAAACGCATTCAGTTAGAATGAATTCTCCTCTCTAGTGCTCAGAGCTGAACAGGGCTCCAGTTGTCGCTCATCCGAAGTGGGTGAGAAGATTTAATCTGTCCTCTGGTCTGCCTTCTGCAAATTAGCCCTCGAGATGCTTCTAAGCAGAGTTGTGTGAGGGATTTGCGAAATCAGCCGTGCAGACTTTGAACACAGTTCAAACTCCAGGGGCAGCGCTGGGACTGGACGTGGGGGACTATCTGCCCTGCCTTTCACTCCAGACGCGATCATGTCACACAGAAGTCATTATTGTTTAATCTCCCTCCTTATCCCTGCCTCTGTGCCACTCCACAGCACCCCAGAGCCCCCTTGCTCTTCTTTCAGATGTCTTTTCCCTGCACAGTCGGCCTGGCATAGAATGCCGTCATGCTTCTGCCTGCGGGGGCGACGATTACGTCATTGGCCTCTTCCCCCAAGAGCCCCTGAGGCCCCGGGAGCAGGGACCACTCTCGGCTTTTCTCACTGCGGCATCCCCAGCGCCAAGCACGTGAGAGCCTACTTAGCATTTGGTGAACCAACGTCCCCCTGGGGTTAGGGACTGACCCATCGGAGGCGGCCACGGAGAGGACGCGACCTCCGGCGGACCTGCGAGCTCCTCTCCTCTCCCCTCCCCTGCCCGCTGTCCCCAAAGTGGGAGGGGGGTCCTGAGAGAACGGTGGTGAGGGACCACCCGGAGTGGGCACGGGCACGACTGAAGGCCTCTACGGAAACTGTTAAGATTCCTGCGGGGAGCGCGGAGACCTTCTCCTCTCGAGACTCCCCAGACAAGACTCTTCAATAAGTTCCCTTATTAAACCTGCCACCTCCCCATCTGGGGTGGCCTGCCTCTCTCCCGTTTCTCTTCGCCCTCCGTGTGCCAGCCAGTTTGCAAAAACAACACCTTGACCTAAATGCCCTTTTCCAAGGAGGGAAAGGGCGGCCATGGCCGGAGCCCACGGACCCCGGGCCTGAGGAGGCACCCCCTCCAGTGGCATGAAGGGCGGTCAGGGAGGGTCCCTTTTGCCCATTCACACAGAGAGGTGGCGCCAACGAGGACAGGGCTAGGTTAGGGAGGCGGGGGCTGCCCCCGACAAAGAAACCCTCGGGAAAGTGCGGGAACAGCAGAATGTTTACCGGCATCTCAGCCTCAGAGGACGCTCCCCAGGGAGCGCTCGCGGCGCTGCA